TTACATACCATGCAATTCACCCATTTAATATGTGCAATTCAATGTTTTTTAGTATATTTACAGAATAGTGCAACCAACACTCCATTTAATTGTTAAACATTTTTTTCACCTCAGAAGGAAACCCTTTACCCATCAGAAGCCATCTCTCATTTTCCTCCATCTGTCCCCACTTCTGCTTCACCTCACTAAGGAGCTACTAACCTACTTTCTGTCTCTTCTGGACATTTCACATAAATGGAATCATACTATATGTGGCCTTCTGTGTCTGGCCATTTAATCTAATGTTTTCAAGGGTCATCCATACTGAGCATGAATCTTTCCTGTTTTCTTGAGTATATGCCTAGGAGTAGAACTGCAAAGTCTTGTGGAAACTGTATATTTAACTATTTGAGAAACCACCAGCGTGTCTTCCATGGCAATGGCACCTTGTCACATTCCAACCAGCAATGTCTGGGGGATGAGGGTCCCGATTTCTTCACACCTGTCCAGCCCTTGTGATCTGTTGGATGGCCATCATCCTAGTGGGTGTGAAAGACATCTCTGGGTATGGTTGTGACTTCCTCATGGCTGAGGCAGAGCATCTTTTCATGTGTGTATCGGCTATTTCTTTCTTTCTTTCTTTCTTTCTTTCTTTCTTTCTTTCTTTCTTTCTTTCTTTCTTTCTTTTTTTTTTTTTGAGACGGAGTTTCGCTCTTGTTACCCAGGCTGGAGTGCAATGGCGCAATCTCGGCTTACCGCAACCTCCGCCTCCTGGGCTCAGGCAATTCTCCTGCCTCAGCCTCCTAAGTAGCTGGGATTACAGGCACGCGCCACCACGCCCAGCTAGTTTTTTGTATTTTTAGTAGAGACGGGGTTTCAGCATGTTGACCAGGATGGTCTCGATCTCTCGACCTCGTGATCCACCCGCCTCGGCCTCCCAAAGTGCTGGGATTACAGGCTTGAGCCACCGCGCCCGGCTGTATTGGCTATTTCTATATTGTCTTTGATAAAATGTCTATTCACATCCTTTGCTCATTTTAAAATTGGGTTGTCATTTTTTTCATTGGGTTGTCAGTATCCTTTACATATTCTAACTACAAGTCCCTTCTCAGATATATAAACTTCAAATTTTTTTTTCCATTCTGTGTGTCTTCATTGATTCTATCCATTTTGTCTGTTCTTTCTTTTGTTGCTTGTAGTTTTTGGTTGTTGTTTGTTTTGAGACAGGGTCTCACTCTGTCATTCAGGCTGGAGTACAATGGCCCCATCTTGGCTCACTGAAACCTCTGCCCCTAGGCTCAAGCAGTCCTCCCACCTCAGTATCCTGAGTAACTGAGGTTACAGGTGCATGCCCTCATGCCCTATGGCTAGCTAATTTTTGCATTTTTTTTTTTTTTTTGAGTCACAGTCTGACGGTCACCCAGGCTGGAATGCAATGGTGGAATCTCAGCTCATTGCAACCTCCACTTGCAAGGTTCAAGCAATTCTCCTGCCTCAGCCTCCCAAGTAGCTAGAATTATAGGTGCTTGCCACTATGCCTGGCTAATTTTTAATATTTTTAGTAGAGACATGGTTTCACTATGTTGGCCAGGCTGGTTTCAAACTCCTGACCTCATGATCTGTGCACCTCAGCCTCCCAAAGTGCTAAGATTATAGGCATGAGCCAACGTGCCCAGCAATTTTTTTATTTTTTGTAGCAATGAGGGTCTCACTATGTTGTCCAGGCTGGTCTTCAACTCCTAGGCTCAAGTGATCTGCCCACTCCAGCCTCCCAAGGTGCTAGATATATAGGTGTGAGCCACCACACCCGGCCTGCTTGTGCTTTTGATATCTAAGAAGGCTTTGCCTACCTCCAGGTCACAAAGATTTACTCCTATATTTTTTTCTAAGGGTTTTACAATTTTAGCCATTATATTTAGATCTGTGTTTTGTTGTAATTTTCGTGTATGGTGTAAAGAGCGGGTTTTTAATACTTCTGAAGCTGCAATAATTGATGTTTGTGGGCAGCACATGAAGAAAGTGAAGAATGTAGATTTATTGCCTTTCTCAGTTTGGACTACATTTTTCAAGAGGCCATCTTCAACTCCTGAGTTCTTTCCATCTTCCCTAAATATTTTTGGCTGTTGAGGATTAAAGTTGCTATGGCTTTCAACAGATCTTGATTCATTGCTTACATGTAATGCACAAGGAATTGTTTAGCGTGGTAACTCCTACATAACCATGATAAACTATTCGATTAGTTATATTTCACATTACAGAAAGTAATCTGTACTGCCTTGAGTTGTGTTTTACGGGTGAGCAAGCTATTTTATATAACAGTGATTATAATGATATTGGCGGGGGGGAACCTAGCTCAGTGTCATTGCTGTTTGTTCCCTGAGAGCTTATCTATTGAATTTGGAGCCAGTAAAGTAAGGAACATGCTGAGGCAAACTTCCAAGGAAAAAAAATATCTTTGCCCTTGCAGGGGTATCTAGTTTTAATGCACTTGAGGGACACAGACCTGGCACAAGATTTTGTTCATTGCAGAGGGACTTCTGAGGCCTCAACTGGTTTCTCAAGTCTGTAGGAAGTTTTCACTTTGGCTGGACTTTGACTCAAAGGCTTGTGGATGCCCTTCTTCTGAGATGTTTCTGGCGAGTATTTCACAATAGGTTTCTCTGAATTCCCCTTTCAGTCAGTTATGTCAAAAGCTTGATTCCTCACTTATTTTAGCAAATGAACCATGAAAGTTGATCACTTCTTTCTTCCTAACGGCTCTGTCCCCAGTTCTCACTGCTCCTTCCTACCCAAGTCAAGTCTGCAGTCCAGGGTCACCCTTTCACCCATCTTTGTAGCCCTTAAGTCTAATCCGGAGGAAGTATTCACTAAGTGTTTGTTGATTACTTTTGTTCCACCAAATTAACACAACTTTTCAACAGTATAAATAGGACTCACTCTTGCCTCTCAGGGTAGAAATTCTAACAAAAGAATAGTCCACGGAAAAGAAGGCAGCCTTTCTCCAGGAGCACAGCCCTGCAGGTGTGGAGGCGCCTAGGTTAGCACTTCTCCAAATGGTGGGTAAGAGGCAAGATGCGGTAGGGAGTTCTCTCATCAGGGTTCGATCCCTGGTTTTGGTGTGGATCTTTCTGAAGGACATTGGGGTCTATACTGCGGAATCCTTTCTCATCTGAAGTCAGAAATCTGTCACTTCAGTATTCCCTCTCAGACCCTACACTCTGATGTAGTCTTCCTGTTACACCGAGCCCGTGGCCTCACTTCCAACACACATGTTCTTTGACCGTCAGTCGCTTGAGTTTTCTTTTTTCCCCTCAATCTCACTTCTTTCTGGGGCTTCCTTTATCCTCTACCTGATTTGCATCCCACACATGGCATTATTCGCTCTAGTCACTACTGCTCTGGCCAAACCCTCTCTCTGCTGCTCCCATCTATTGCTGTGAGCTGATTGCTCTTTAGTTTCTCCATCCCCTGAGACGTGCTTCACGCCACTGCCAGAAGAGTTGCCATGCATGTACCTGGGTGTGGTGAAGCGGGGAGTAGGCTTGAAATCAGCCCTCATCCACTGATCATTTGAGGCTTGGCAGAGCTGAGTCTACCTAGAGGGAATACCTTCTGCTAATCAGCACAGACAGCCTATGGGCTCACAGAGGAGCTGGCTACCAAACTGACCGTCCCATTCCTCTGCATAATACCCTTCAGTGGGTCCTATTAGCTAAATGCCAAGCTCCTTAGCATGGAATGCAAGCAAACCCTCTAAGACCTAGCCTGCTTGTCCCACCAGCATTTTAATGAGGGTGATGATGTGATTTATTGTCCAGACTGGAATACTTCTGAAAGGAAGGAAGAGCTATTACTGATTATGCCAGAGCAGTTCACTACAGTGCCCGGGCACCTATTTGTAACCCACCATTCCACACCTTGGATTCTTTCACTGTGGTAGTACAAAGCCACTGGTAGTTTTCTATGTACACCTTGTTATTTCCAGATTAAGAGGTTTTGACAGAGCTATTTTGACAATCATGTTGTGAATCTGAGGATATTTTTATTCCTTTTTCTGATTAAACATTATAGGACGAACATCCTCATCTTCGAGGTCAAAATGCCAAAAACACATCCTGAAGGTCAAAATACCAAGTCCAAAATGATCACAGCCTGAACAATGATATTAAAACACCTAATTTACATTATTCTATGCTCTGGTTACTTGATTGTAGAATTGATAATTTATCTCCTTAAAACTTCTATTCCCTCTTCCCCATTTTTCTGCCTTTTCTGGTTTATTTCCACTTACTGTTCAAGACATCACATGATTTTTTTCTTCCAATTATCTTTCCCTAATATTTCCTGGCTGGGTTCAGTGCCCATCATCCTGTTCCCACAGCAACCCGTATACCTTTTTTAAAATTGTACCTAAAAAAAAAATGTGTTGAAGTCATCTGTTCAGGCCTACCTTGCTTAGGAGACTATTAGGTCCTCAAGCCAGGAACCCTGTCTTACTATTTTATCCTCAGTGCCAGGACGGTGCTTCACAAATAATAGAATCTCAATAAATATTTCTTTACATAGACTAATTTGAATTCCTTGTAATATGAAGTGAAATGTGCCTGCCCCTTATTTCCTGAGGAATTTCTTAGGGAACTAGTGATGATTTACACCTGCTTGAAGCCTTCAGGATGTTGAGTTTGGGCATGTTGAAGTTGTAAAGCCTATTGTTATTTTTTATACCATAGAATCACATAAAAAGAAAATTCATATGCATAATATCCACATATGTTTTGCCAAAAGTGTGAACAGTGGTGTGTCAAAGTTTTCCATGCCATAAACAAAATTGTTCTGAGGATATGAAAGAGTAATTCTTGTTTAGTGCAATGAAGGATCACACAACCCATTAAATAGTATTCTGTTCTTGCCTGATTTTCTAAGCTCTCTGGATTTGGGATTTTGAGTGAAGGTGATCAATGCCATCCTAATGTTACATGTTTGTTTCACAAGTCTAATGTCTTCTGTTTCCATTTCTCTAGAATGTTTCAGATGTTTAAAGAATGGTTCTGGTTGGAAAGATTCTGGCTTCCTCCAATGACAAAGTGGTCAGATCTGGAGGATCATGATGGACTCGTCTTTGTAAAACCTTCTCATTTATACATGACAATTCCATATGCTTTTCTCTTACTGATTATCAGACGTGTATTTGAAAAGTAAGTAGTACTTATGTCTTTCCTTCCAATTCCCCCTCTTTGCCCTGACACTGGAATAATAGAGTTTTAGGCTTACTGAGTTCCTTAAAGAATCTGTTGTTCAGAGGTTGCCACTAAGTGATGAATTAACATAATCAAATGCACTCCGAATGTTATCTAAAGACTGAACAACAAAAAAAATGAGAAACATGGATCCCATTGAGTGCTTTAGTTTTGTAATGAAGAAAATCTTTATAAAGGAGATGGGGAGAGGTTGAGGATGGCAGAGCTTATTAGTGTCAGTGACAACACAGGTACCCAGCTCATCTTCCACTCTTCTGTGGTGACTCACAGTGCATAGGCACTCCTGGAAAAGCAGTGCTGGAAGAGTCTATGACTCAGGAGGCATTATCACTCCCAAATGCCTATAAAATAACAAAAATGGCTCATTAAAGGATACACCAAATATTGCTATGTAGCACAGTTTATTTTAAAGATTTATTTAAAGGTTTAATAGGTGCCCTTCATGCTGAAGTGCAATGAAATCAAAGAGAAAAACTATCAATTTGCTTTCTCAGAAAAAGTAAACTTCTTTTCTTTTCTTGATTTAATTTAAATGCATATTTTTTCCAGCCATTTTATTAAAATTGTACTAGCGTTATGATAGCAGTAGATAAATGTTCATCTATAATCTCTGGAGTTGCCTCTATTTCAAAAAGCTGTTATTAGCACATTAATTCATTTGGAGCAAAGAGAATATTCAAATGTCAAGAGTTGGAAAAACTTGAGTCAAAAATCTGATAGAGATCATTTTGTCCAAGACTAAGCAGATCATATGTTTATAAACATTTGCAGGGTCCTTATCTCAAGAGCTAGTTTGACCAACTCTGTTTCATGAACTCGAAAAAGTTTTTGTACAAATGACACTTCACTTGGGCCAACAGTGTGCTATTCCTATTGGGAGGAAGAGAAAGTCCCTGGATACCACTAAACCCAGCTGAGAACATTTGAAAATTTACTTCTTTTCTGACAGTTAATTCTACTTCTTACTCACATATTTGGATGTGTCAGGAATGTATAAATAAAGTAGAATTTACCACTGCACTTCAAAGTTAGCAAATTACTGTCCTGAAATATGAGCTGTTCTTGCACTGTATCTGGTGATCTTTGAATTTGGCATCCAGGTCCATTGCTTATTTCCATTGCAGATTTCCTACTTTTTGGTGGACAGCTCCATTTTTCACAGTTTGGCCAGGACTATGAGCCAGAACATTCTTTAGGTTGCCAAAGCAGCACAGCTGTGGAGGACCAGCTTGCTACATCCCGGTCTTGGCCTCTCCAATGACAATCAGGAAGGAATCCAACCCTCTTTTAATTCCTAGGACCATTGTTACTTTTTCTGAAGGGATTAAGTGTAGTCTGTATTCTCTTTTCTGTCTCCTTATAACTTCAGCTCCCAATAACTCACTCTCAGCTTTTTCCATTGTGACACAACAGAAAATGTGTAGCTTCACTATCTTATGTCTCTTTTAATGCCGTAAAGGGAAGCAAAATGTAACAGGGAGAGATACCATACTTTTTGTGAAGTATAAGTTTATATATTTTTTCCAGAGCTTTTGTATCATTAGTGGGAGATTGAACCACCTGTGTCATAAATAAAGTATCACTTATACCTTCCATTTGAATAGGAGTTTGTAGTTTAAGAGCTACATAAAAATCACAGATGCTGTGGTCTCAGTCTGCAGGTATGGAAATAAGAGGTAAATGACTTGCCAAAGCCACACAGTTAACATGTTAGGGGATGGATCTGGGACTGGAACCCATGAACTAAGGTTTCAGGTTGTTGGCTCTTTATTTTCTGACGGCATCAGTACTTCTTAGACTTTCACAGTGAAAGGCTCTTGATGGCAGAAGAGAATAAACAAATATCTCTTGGGAATACAGAAAGCAAGCTTAAAGAGATGATAGCAAACATAAAAATTTCTGAACTATTTAAAAAATTCATGTAAATATAACTCTCGGTTTCAGCATATCCTGAGAGATTTAACACAGGAAGGCTTCCTTCTTCTGTCCTAGACTGTATTTATGCTGCATCTTCTCATTCTATGAAATGACCAAGAGTTGTGATTTGGCTGGTTCATTATTGTCCTTTAGTACTAGACAAGAACATTTAAGATCAGAAATTAATGTTTCTTCCTAGAAAATCAAGACGAGAAGCAGATAATTTGAAAGTAACTACCATCTGCTAACATTTGCTTTGTACTTAAGGTTTTCTTTCCTTAAAAGTTTTAGCTTCTGGCTTACGTTTTGTTTTTTGTTTTCTTTGGTAGCTAATGTTTTGATTTTTTTTTTTTTTTTTTTTTGTCCAGGCTACCAGTTTCTAGTTAGTTTATCTTCTGTGCATTCTTGTATGTGTCTGAAGTGTGATTTAAAGGAGACCTAAGCTAGTCAAATATCAACACTCATGGAATAAATGCATTATCTCAGAGTAAATCATGGTCCCAGAAGAGTCCAAGGCAGGGGTGGAGGTGGTAAAATCAGAAGATCACCTTTTTATTGTTCTTGTTAGTTGATTATACATGAATAGATTCTCCACATTTGCAACATAAGGTCAAGATGGGACAGTATGTCCATCATTCTTTAAAGGAGGGTAGGGTACCTGGAGTAACCTATCTGTAGCAATTTGCATGAATTGAATAAGTATTGTTACTAACTGTCCCAAATGGAAATAGTCTTAAAATATGAACATTAGACTTTTTATCCGAGATCTACTTTGCTCCTGATATTTTGTTCTCATGTTAAAAAACAAAAAAACTCTGAAAAACTCTGCTCACAGAGCCTCTTAATCTGAAGGAACCGCGAATCAATCTTTTTTTTTTTTTTTTTTTTTGGAGACCGAGTTTCGCTCTTGTTACCCAGGCTGGAGTGCAGTGGTGCGATCTCGGCTCACCGCAACCTCCGCCTCCTGGGTTCAGGCAATTCTCCTGCCTCAGCCTCCTGAGTAGCTGGGATTACAGGCACGCGCCACCATGCCCAGCTAATTTTTTGTATTTTTTAGTAGAGACGAGGTTTCACCATGTTGACCAGGATGGTCTTGATCTCTCGACCTCGTGATCCACCCGCCTCGGCCTCCCAAAGTGCTGGGATTACAGGCTTGAGCCACCGCGCCCGGCCCAGCGAATCAATCTTACGCTAATAGGCTATTGTATCTATTTAGGAGAAGTATTTAAAGGTAACATGCCTAATATCTGCCTAGGGAAAAACACTGAAAATAAAGGGAGGTCTGGAATGTCTAGGCTTTTGGCTCTCGGGTAACTGATGGGGTGCTAGACGAGGAGGGGGCTGTTGGGTATCCTAATGGAGTTGTCTGAAGGCTCAGTTCTGCAAAAGTAGCAAACCTAAGGAACTTACTTATTCCCTGGCAGTTAATCTAATTTTAAACCATTTACATGGGAGCAGAAGTTCATTCTTTTTTATTCCTCTCAGACATTTTTCTATTCCGTATCAATATAATCAAAATTTAGGCAAGCTAGCTGACAAGCTAATCTCTAAATTTATTTCTAGGACTAAGACTTACAATTTCCCTTCTTGCTTCAGTTCAATTTATCAAATATTCATTGTGCTTCTTTATTCTCTCCTTTTTAAAAATAGATTTTTAATTAAGTGCCTATTTATATTCCTCTACACTTTATTAGGTAAAGTGATTGATTTCCTAGATTTATTTGAAAACGAAGGATAGCACTCAATTAGACAATGACATTTATATCTACTCTGTTATGCTAAAAGTGTTATTTTTTGTCTGGGCACAGTGGCTCATGCCTATAATCCCAGCACTTTGGGAGGCCAAGGTGGGCAGATCATGAGGTCAGGGGATTGAGATCATCCTGGCCAATATGGTGAAACCCCATCTCTACTAAAAATACAAAAAAATTAGCTGGATGTGGTGGCACCTGCCTGTAGTCCCAGCTACTCAGGAAGCTGAGGCAGGTGAATTGCTTGAATCTGGGAGTTAGAGGCTGCAGTGAGCTGAGATCACGCCACTGCACTCCAGCCTGGTGACAAAGCAAGATTCCACCTCAAAAAAAAAGTTATTATTTTGTGTAAGAAGTAGGTTTATAGGTTTATGAATGTGTATTTATTCACATGTATAGTTACCCATATGCTGTTTCTCACATGACCCTCTAGAAAAGAATGTTATGCTTCATTTCTTTGAGATTAGTTTTGTTCCCTTACTGTATAAATCTTTGGTTTAATTCTATTTTGCTTTCCCCTCCTAATTTCTTCATTTCTGACATTTGAGGACATGCCACTGAGTGAATAAATTGAAAACGCTACCCTGTGAAACTATTTCCAGTTTGTGTTGTTCTAATAGTGACAGAAATGGGTGTTTTCTCCACAAAATTTTTCAGCTACTAAGTTGGATAAATGAGATAATTCAATTATTTACCTAAAACCTTGTCAAATATATATATGTGTATATACACACATATACATGTGCGCTCTCTCTCTTATATAGACCTTTTTCTCTCTCTCTCTGTCTCTCTTTCTCTCCCCCATCTCTCTGTCTCTCTGTCTCTCTGTCTCTCTCTCTCTCTCCGAGAGAGAGAGAGAGAGAGAGAGAGAGACAGAGAGAGATCTATATAAGAGCAGTGTTGAGTGATTGATTACTTTTTCATTAATTATATTTTTCCCCATGCATTACTTCCATTATTCTCTCTGCTGTGTTCTGTATATTTGATGATCCTTTATTTGTGTGACTCAGTAAAATATGTGCTTCATGTACAGATATCACTAGTTGACATAAATGGTACTGTGCTAAGATCTTTTCTCTCTTCTTTTTTAAAAATTAGCCTATGTTTTATGATCTCTCCACCTTGCTCTGTGTAAATCTGGTGCATAATTCACTTATTTTAATATGTCTCTGAAATTTAGGGGCCATTTCCAAGAGAACTTAATTCATCTAGAAGCCGGACTGACATAAAAATGAGTTTAAGAGCTGAGTGATAATTCATAACTAAAAT